TGGAGGGGGGGGGAGGTGACTAGGAGGAAGGGAGAGAGAGGGAGAGAGGAGGGGGGGGGAGGGGGAAGGAGGGGGGGGAGGGGGGAAGGGGAGAGGTTGTTGTGGGGATAAGGAGAAGAAGGGAGAGAAGGAGAGGGTGGGTGGGTGGGTGCTGGCGGTGGACGACTTGCGGCTTGGGCGGGATGCCACACTTGCGCGACACCGGACGGAGAGCGGGAGAGCTAGCAGAGGAAGGAAGGACGGGGAGGAGGGGAGGGGGGGGGGGAGGAGGAACGGGAGAGGGGGGAAGGGGGATACTTGGTCATTGCTGTAGTATGCTGTCATGCAGTATTCCTATCTCGGTCGGCAATGGCATAAGCTCGTACATTGAATGAGAGGCTCAAGGTGAGTGACGTGTGCTTTGTTAATTGAGCTGTGTGAGGGCTACGAATGTGTGTTAGTGCGGAAGAAAGGGGAGCAAGGAAGGAGGGGGGTCCGAGAGAAAAAAGTTGCGGCAAGGGCCGGGTCAGGCTACAAGCGGGGTGCCTTTACAAAGGCTGGGCGATGGGCTGGTGCAGAGAAATGCCTCTACTTATCACGAGTTGAGGGCATCGGCTACCTTGGCGGTCCTGCGCAGCTCGGCCAGGTAGTTGATCAGCTCCGAGACGACAGCGAGGACGAGGGTCATGGACGCCACCGTGGCCCACCAGCGCCAATTGGAGGGCCACGAGGCGGAGACTGCGGCAGCGAGGACAACGTGAAGGAGTGCGACGGTGACGACGTAGTCCCAAGCGTTTGACGACGACTTGACAATGGTGACCATGAGCAGCGGCGCAAGGAGAAAGGCGAGGGTGGTAGTGGCGAGCGCAGCCTGGCCACGATCGGAGCCATCGGCAAACTTGGCATGCTCAAACGGGAGCGTTCCGCAGTAGTCGAGGTCGTATGCCATGATGAAGACGCCAGCTACTACGTAGAACAAGAGGTAGAACGAGGGGATGAACATGGCCAGCCGCCGCGCGATGACCCGCGACTCGTTGTCGCTCACTTTGCCCATGGCGGGTCGAGCCTGTGTGCTGTTGGGGGTGGCGGAGGTGCCGGGGGTGGTGGCGGAGGCGGTGGCAGTGGCGGTGGCCCAAGGACGGGTGCCACAGCAGGAGCAGGGGTGAGGAGTGGCGAGTCTAGGCCCGAGAGTACCTGTCCTGTGTGGGGCGGCAGCCATGCGGTTGGCGCCCAGCCGGCCGTCACTCGCTGTTGCCGGACACACGTCCCGGGCAACAACACACGAGTCATCCAGAATCCCGCTGACATACACGCGGTACGGTCAACTCCGGGTCAATTCCATCAATTTATGCGTGGCGACACTGACGACTTGCGCCAACTCCAACCCGCATCCAAATCCCCGCAGGGAAGAGCGGGGGAGACAAGGAAGGGGATGATGTGTGCTTACGAGCTGCCGCCGTGCAACCATCCTTTGCTTACAGAGTTCCCCATCAGAACCCGAGAGCCACGCGGCATTCAACTTCACGCTTATGAGTGTGGCAGGTTGACCCAACTATTTGAACAGTCTGTTCCCCCTTGCCAGCACTCCATCGCGCACAAGCAGCTCACCCTTGCAGCCACCTCCTGCACACAGCAGGGTCACCACGAGTAATCACAACATCAAGCAACCGCACTTGCTATCTGGATCACTATCATATGCATGTGAGAGTCGTTCCCATGCGGAGCATCGGCCGAGTGCATCTGCCGCGGCTAGCCCGCTCCCCGTTCACATCATGACGGCGAAACGGCCCGCCAGCAGCGGCAGCCGTGCTTTTGTCCAGTGCTGGAACACAAGCAACCGTGCCACATCACAGGGCTATATCCAATGCTGGATACTTGTCCCTGCGACGCTTGTTAAGTGGCCTATGTGCGGCCATTCACCCACTTTATTCCGCTCACTCCGATGACTTGCGGCGGTAGATTCGACCGCCAGCGAGCGTCGTTTCACTCTGCTTGCCAGCATCAACAGGCGATGGATGCACGGATGCATGTTGCCTCTACGCTGGGCCCCTCCCAGCTGCTACTAGAGTGACCCGACCGTTGGCGGTGTTGAAGTCGCGGGTATCAAGGTGCCGCAGCAATTTGACATGTGTGCCAAATTGGCATTTAACCCGTGAAGTCGATTTGTCCGCAGCGGACAACCCGTTCTTCGGCACCGGACGACCGGTGGTACACTTCACCCCAACCGTGCTGCAAGTCTAACTTTCTCGTCCACAAAGGCCTCTTACGAAACACTTACGCCCACCCACACCCCGGCTGAGCAACTTGGCCACGAAACTTGCCTTGCATTGCTTGAGCACGCGTGTTGGTGGAAGTATCAACCACATCCCTGCGGCTGAATCGCCCGCACCGGACTATTTTTTTCGCCAACCACAACCCGCATTCGTTGACCGCATCAACCAAGCGGCTCAGTCACGCCTAGCTGTCACTAGAGAATCCGTCCAAATTGGTGTGATTTGAAGTGATTGCGAACACCAACCACGTCAGCGACTCGACACCACAGCTCACTCGCATTCCTCGAAGTGGCACAACTCTCTGATACTGATACTGATGTCAGCCACAACACTTCCAGACTTTATCATGCTCCCCACCGAGCAATTGCTGCACCAAAGGTGGCGTGACGCGTCTGCTAACGATAGGGACGCGCTCCGCTCCGAGTCGCAGAAACCTGGGTGGATCATGGCAGGCGACGCGTGCCCCCATGTTGTCAGCACATCAGGCAATTTGGTTTCCTCTCTTGCAGTCCCAACCCCTGCATTGGCAGACCGCCAATGCGGAGATACCGACACCCTTGCGTCTTTCCTCACAGCAGAGTACTGTCTGGCACCCTCAGAGGAAGAGGCTGCATTGACACGCTTGCGTGCAACGGCAGGTCGCGTGGCCGTGGTGCGGCACACATTTTTTGCTGACAGCTTGCCAGCATCAGCACCAACCAAGCGAAGCCGCCACGAGACCGAGTCGGACCGGGCATGCAGCAGGCCCGACGCAGCAAGTCAAAGCAGGAACGGACTGCCGCGCAATGACCCTGATGAACTGGCCCGTCCTCGCAAGCGTCATGCCCCGCTTGCAAGCCTCTAGGAACAGGCTTAGCAAGGATTGTTTTAGGCCGCACGTCGGCACGCGTATGAAACCAGAGAGGGAAATATTCCGCACGAGGTCGTTAGCCAATATCGTGCCAACTTCGCGCTTATATCCCCTCACGGCACGGAATGGACACATTTGTACATCGCGCAAGCCGCACTCGGCGACGCTCTACAGACGTCGCAACGTCCATGAATTGCTGTAAATGAGTAGTATGATGTGTTAATGGCTGCCACAACAGAAAACAGACGGCGATGCAGAGATGGACGCTGCACGCGGCGCACAAGGTCCGTGGCCGCGATCGCTTGCTATGAAGCCTCCGGCAGGCGAGGCAGTCGCGTCGCATGGCTGCTTGCTGGGGAGTGGTGATGACGAGCAGCTGCTGCAGAGGGTCGCTCCTGCTTGCGCGACAGCGCGGAGCTGACAGCGTCGGCGCTGGCGACGAGGGCGTCGATGATGTCGTGGAGAAAAGCCACACGAGCCATGGCGGGTCGTGGGCTCGCGTCAGCGCAGCGCGCGTACGCGTTGATGGGCACGGCGTCCAGATTCCAGTTCGAGATGGCGTGCCGCCTCTTGCGCGGCTACGCCGACCGGCAAGCTCGTCCGTCGCAAGACATCCTCGCGCTCTCCTGTCTGGCCTCTGTGTTCAACTCTGGCATGCTCTTCTTCCCGGTCGTTGGGTCGTCACCGCGGCGGCAACTCGGGCATTCTTCAGGCAGGCGTCTACGTGCCGGCCGCCATCACGCGCGGGCACGCCTCCCACCTCAAGCCGCAGACCAAGCAGGCGTCGCGCAGCGTCGACCGGTGACCTGGAAGTCAAGCATCATCGAGTTGCTCACTAAGGGTGATTATCTGCACACGTGGCGAGTCGACCCGGTTGCGCCACTAGTCGCCGCCAAGGATGTTGTACCCGACCGATGACGAGGTCATGCTGTTGCTGCCCACATGCCGCTTGCCGCGCGGCCGCGCCTCACGCAGCCGCCGCGAGTGGAGCCGTGCCAGCGGGCCCTGAAATCGTGCAAGTTGTCGCTCTGCCGCCACCTGTGCGGCAGCCGTATCCGGAGCGCCCTCGAACGGATTCGCCGCGTCGGCAAGCAAGGCTTTGGCCAGCGCGAGCCGCGGCGGCTCGGCGCTAGCCAACGCTTTCTCCACCTTGCGCTGAGCAACAGCGGCCGGCGACGGTGGGCGTGGACGCTGCGGTGGCGGTGGCGGCGGCGACGACAGGCGCGGGCGCTGGCGCGGCGGCAGCGGCGACAAGCCGGGAGCCACTGGCTCGGCTCGAGCCCTGCCGCGACGGGGCTGATAAAACTTGCCGACTCGAGCCACCCGCGCGAGCTCGGCGTCCTCGGCGGCCTCACGTGTGCGTGACGCTGCTGCGGCGCGACGTCGCGCACCTTCCTCAATGCGCGACAGCGTTGCCGCCCTCGCAAACGGCGTGCGGGTGCGGGCCAGGCGCTGCGCCTGCGACCGCGCGCGCCGGGCGTTGGCCATGGAGATGCGCGACGCGCTGCGAGCGTTTTCAAAAGCTGCCAGCGCAGCCGCCAGCGAGTGCGGCGCAGTGCCCTTTCGCGACGCCGTCCGCGACGCCGTCCGCAGCAGCACGTCCGACGACGGTGCAAACTCGGCGGTCCATGCCTCGTCGAGCACCCCGCCAGATCGCATGTCGAGGACCGGAAACGGAGCCATGTCTTGATCAGTGATGGCCACATCGGTCTCAAACTCTCCCCACTCCCGCTCGTCTCCATCGCTCATACCAGCACCGACTCTATATCCGTGCCGATTGTCAGACGACTCTGCTCGCGATGCCGCAGCTCTCGACTCTGCCCGTGATCGGAGCACATCATGGCGAGGAAGAGCCGCCAGAGGCGAAGGCGATGGCCGATAAGCGGCTTCAACGTGGGCCTCTGGCGAGTTGAGCATGGTGTGGAGCGACTTGAGCTCGACAACCAAGTCCGAGTCGTCGGCAGTGGGCGACATGAGCTCGGCGGGCGTGAGGCCAACGGTGACCTTGTTACTCCGCACCGGCGGCGCACCGAGGACAGAGCACGCATGGTAGCTCCTTCGCGGCTGGTGGCGCACCCGCATGTGTCGCCTGGACTGGTGCGAGTGCGTGTGTGTGGCGCGAGTGGTGTGTGTGCGGCGTGGGCGACGTGAGCGGTGCCGCGAGTCGTGCGACTGGGTGACCTGCCACTCGAGGCCGATGCCGGCTGGCCTGGCCTGTCCGGATCGCGTGAGCACGGATCTGCGGCCAGCGATCAGGGTGATGGTGATGACCATGATGACCATGATGACCATGATGACCATGATGACCATGATATGCATGGTGATGAGCATGGTCATGGGCATGGTCATGAGCATGGTCATGGGCATGGTCATGACCATGGTGACATGAAGAGATCAAGTGTGGCAACAGAGACCGACGGTCCCTGTACCATTGCGTCAACCATGGAAACCAGGGACAACCACCATCATCACCACCATCACCACCCATCCCGCCCATGCCCAAAAACATGCCCTCTCGCCCATCCATCATCCCAATCTCTTTACCACCGGTCTGATCGCCCTCCCCCCCCCTCCCTCCCAGCCCCAGCCCCATCCCTCCCCTCCCTCCCCTTCCACCACCACCCCTCCCCTCCCACACACCATGAGCGAACTCATGGGCAACAAAGCCGTCGAACGGGTCCTCAAGTGGGCACCTTCCAACACAGCTCTCACCCCCCATGCCGAGCAACTCATCCGTAGGGGCCTGGCTCCCGTCCGCCCCGAACACATCGCCGCCGCAGAGCCGGCCGTGCCGTCATCGTCAGCATCATCGCCAATACCATCGTCATCGTCATCGCTCGCAGCAGCTTCGTCCCGCAAGCGACCAAACTCGCCGTCGGCTTCCTCTCCACAGCAGCCTTCTGATCATGTCGCTAGCCCGCTTGCTCCTGGCTCGGCTCCGCCGGCAAAGAAGGCCAAGATGATCGACGGCTCGGCTGCACCGGCTGATAGCAACGACAGCGGCACGGCCGATCTGCCGCTGGCGAGCGATGGTTCTGAACAGTCTCCCATCAGCCCTGCCCATGCATCAGCCTCACCAGCGGCAGCTGCGCCGCCGCTGGCTGCCGCCAATCTCGAGACGACCAGCAAGACAAACGGTGGCTTCGGGAAGCGGACCAAGGCCATGCGCAAGGCGATGGTCAAGGACCGCTCCAATCAGGTCTGCGTCTTGTTTGTCGGCCGCGGCAGCTGCCGTTTCGGCGACAAGTGTAACCGCTCGCATGACCTGGCAAAGTGGATGGCCGAGCATCGCAGAGACGACGCTCCGGGCTCATGCCCTCTGTTCGAGGCCTACGGCTTCTGCCGCTTTGGCCTCACCTGCCGATGGGGCCGCGGCCACGTCGAGGACGACGGTGTGACCAACAAGAACCTTGCCGCCCAGGTTGACGCCTTTCCCGATGAGTGCAACGAGGTCCCGCTCAAGGTCTTCCACGCCCTCCGCCGCCGCAAGCTCGACCTGCGCCGTGCCAAGGCTGCCCAGGCCGAGGTCAAGGCCGCCGCCGCCGCTGCAGAGACCGGGCCCGGTGAGTTTGACTTTCCCGCCGCCCGCGCCAAGGTCACCGGCCTCCCTTTTGACGACGTTCGCAAGCGCATCGACTTTAGCAACAAGCTTTACCTAGCCCCGCTCACTACCGTCGGCAACCTGCCGTTCCGCAAGGTCGCCGTCGACATGGGCGCCGATGTCACCTGCGGCGAGATGGCCATTGCCTCGTCGCTCCTCCAAGGCCGCCGCACAGAGTGGTCGCTCCTCCGCCGCCACAAGGCAGAGTCCATCTTTGGCGTCCAGATCGCCTCGGGCTACGTCGACCAGTTTGCCAAGGTCTGTACCGCCATGCGTGCCGCGGAGCTCAACGTCGACTTTGTCGACATCAACGCTTGTTGCCCGCTCGACATGGTCGTCAACAAGGTCATGGGCTCTGGCCTCCTTGCCCGCCGCAAGCGCATCATCTCGCTCGCTCGCGTCGGCGCCACCATGCTCGACGTCCCGCTCACATTTAAGCTCCGTCTCGGCATGGATGAGCCCATGGTCCATACCCTGCTGCCGGAGCTGGCCGCCGCCGGCGTCGCCGCCGTCTCCATTCACGGTCGCACCCGTGCACAGCGCTACACGCAGCAGGCATCATGGGACTACATGATCGAGACCGCAAAGGCTGCAGACCTGCCTGTCATCGGCAACGGCGACCTGTACTCGTACGAGGAGCTCGATGCGTACATGAACCAGCCGGGCCTCACCTCGGTCATGGTCGGCCGCGGCGCCCTCATCAAGCCATGGATCTTCACAGAGCTCAAGGAGCGCCGCCACTGGGACATCTCGTCATCGGAGCGCTTCGACATCCTCCGCTCCTTTGCCAACGAGGGCCTCAAGCATTGGGGCTCAGACTCGCAGGGCGTCGAGACCACGCGCCGCTACATGCTTGAGTGGCTCTCGTTCCTCTACCGCTACGTCCCTGTCGGCTGCCTCGAAGTCCTCCCACAGCACATGGCCCTCCGCCCGCCGGCCTTTGTCGGACGCAACGAGCTCGAGACTCTCCTCGCCTCCGACAACGCAGCAGACTGGGTCCGCATCACAGAAATGCTCCTCGGCCCGGCTCCGGCCTCGTTCACCTTTGTGCCCAAGCACAAGTCCAACGCCTGGTCCACTACCGCAAACGCCTGATTGTCGCAGTCGCAGAGTGCCTCATTTACCGCTACGCTCTCGCACGCACCATCGACGGCGGCCGAGCCGCCGTGCACGCCATCATCGAGCTGCGCGGCTAACGGCTAAGGCCGGCCGCTCGCGGATGCCGCCAGCTGCTGCATCCATTTGGGCGTGGCAGGCTCGCGCCGGCCCTTCTTGCCCTTCTTCTTGCCCTTCTTGGTATCCGACGAGATGGCCTCGTTCATCTCCTGCCGCGCCTCGACCACTGCCCGGAACTGCGCGTCGAGCTGTGGCTCAGTCGCGAGCATCTCGGCACACATTTCGCGCGTCAGCTCGAGCACCTGCATCGCCGTTCGCGCACGCACGTTGGCCCGCGCTTGAGGTTGGCAAACAGCGCCATCTCGCCGAAGAACTGGCCCTGGTTGAGCGGAATCTTGACTCCGTTCGGGAGCTCGACCTCGGCCACCCCGCGCACAATGAAGAACATCGAGTGGCCCTCGTCGCCCTTCTTGATGATGAGCTCGCGCGCCGAGAACGTCCGCTCCCGGAGATGCTGCAGCATGTCGGAAATAAACCGCTGCGGGACCTCCACCGCGGCCGTCATGTCTGCCAGCCGCTCTTGCGTCACCGTCTCATCCACGTACGCAATCTTCTTGTGGCCCATCTTGCGCGAGTTCTTCAGCTCGCGCGGCTCGAGCTCGAGCGACGCTGCGTACTGCTCCTTCTCGCTCAGCTGCTTTGCATTCGCCAGGTACTGCTCGATGATGAGCACAGGCTGCAGCGCATACCGCCCGCCCTGGAACGACACGATCATGTCAATGACCTTGGCCGTCATGGCCTGCTTGTCCACGTTGAGCAGCTTGCCGTCCACAAAGTCCTCGTTGCCGTCGTCGATAAACGTCAGGTCCTGCAGGAGTACACCCAGGTACGGCACGCACGGCGCCTCGGCCGCCTTGAGCGCCGCGCGGTACTTGGAGTAGTTGGACGCCATCGACATCGTTAGCTTGAGATCCGCAAGCTTCTCCACATACGCCGCAGGCACCACGTCCCACGTAAAGCCCAGCCGCGAAATGCCGGCAGACTCGAGCGCAGACACAATCGCCATCAGCGCCGAGAAGTTGTTGAGCGCGCGTGCCGCTGACGCCACGTCGAGCAGTCGGCAGATCACCGCTGCACGGCCCTCAAACGTCGCCACAGACAACACTTCGCTCGCCGCCCATCCCACCACAGAGTTGAATCTCTCAATCATGGTGATGAGGTTCGGCGCCACAAGCGACGCGTTCTTCTTGGCCCACCGTTGCTTGAGGAACTCGCGCGGCTCGATCTGCTGCAGCGCGTCATAGTCCATGAGCGTAATCTGCCGCGCGATCTCCACGGGACTCAGCTGCATAACGTTGGAAATGGTCGAGTCCAGCGGCAAAATCGACGTCGGCATCTCCACCTCGTTCTCGCCGCTCGCCAGTGTCGCCAGCGAGCCGCTTCGTCCGCGCCGGGCCGCGCCTTCCTCGCCACCCTCGTCCTCGTTCACCCCGATCCCGCCGTACTTGAGCTGCAGCGCTGTCGTCAGCCGCCGCGCACGCGCGCCGACCTCGATCGACACAGGCGTCGTGTGCGTCCGCACACACGACCCGCGCGTCACGTCGCCATCGCTCGCCGTACCCGCCTCGCCAGCCTCCTCAGCCACTACCGCCAGCGGGTCGACCACGTCCTCGAGAATCACAAACTCACTGCCTGACATTGCCGTGAGCACCTCGTACACCTCGCTGCGGAGCCGGCTCTCCTTGGCCAGCAGCCGCGGGTGCTGCTTGAACCACAACTCCATGACCTCAAGAACTCGATTCTGCAGTGCGTCGCGTGTCGCGCTGTGGAACGGGTACAGCCGTGTCGTGGCGTCGTCGTGCAGCGCGGCTCGCGTCTGCGGGCTCACCGCCAGTTCGGGCGCCGTGGCCTCGAGCAGATCAAGCAGCTCGTCGCGGGCAGGCCCAGGGTTCGATCCGAACCGCAGCTTGAGGTAGTTGAGAAAGCCCGCATCGGACATGTAGTTGGGGTAGGTGTAGAGGATGGCACGCGTCAGCTCCGGGTCACGGACCGACGGCGACGTGATGCGGTTGAGCAAGAGGATCTTGTCCATCGCGAGGATCTTGGCCCGCACATACGCGCTGGAGAGCAGGTCTTCGCGCGGATTGTAGCAGATAAACGCCGGAACACGATCACGCGCCCGCGCTAGCGAGTCCAGCACCCGCCGCACAATGCCTCCCAGAACTCCGAGCCGCTGACGCGAGAGGTACCCGCGCCACGCCTGCTGGATGGTCACTGCTGCAGACTCTCGCACCCGTCGCTCGCGCATCGCCGTCGCCTTTTCCTTCAGCATGTCGCGCAAGTCGGCGTTGGCGCTCTCAACTCGCCGCTTCTTCCGCGATGACCGGACCTTGAGCATCGCCACGCTGGCTAGACTCGCCGAGCCTGCTGCGCCGCCGGACCCGTCGGCAACGCCCGAGTCCGAGCTGGAGCCACTCGAGCTTGAGTCCGAGCCCGAGCCCGAGCCCGAGCCCGAGCCCGAGCCCGAGCCCGAGCCCGAGTCGGAAACAGAGTCAGAGCTGATCTCCGACTTGCCCTTTCCGGCAGACTTGGCCCGCTCTCCTGTCCCCGAGCCCGAGCCCGAGCCCGAGCCGGTCGCAGTCAGCGTCTGCGGTGTGGGCGGCGCCGGTGGTGCCGGCGGCGCTGGCGAATCAACCGGCGGCGACAGCGACGGCGACGTGCTCGTCGCAACCGAGACACACACCTCACTCGGCTCGGCATCAGCAGCAGCAGGGATGAACTCGAGATCGCAGATGAGCTCCTCGAGCGACTCGACCTCGCCAGTCGGCGTCGCCGTCACCGCGTACATCGAGTTTGGCACGCTTGTCACCAGCTCGCGCGGCAGCCGGCGTGCAAGCAGATACGCCTCCTTGCTGGATACCGCGAGGCTGCTTGTTGTCTGGCCCTTTTTTCCGACCTTGACCGAGGTGAAGGTAAGGACAAGGCCGGTGTCCTCACTGGTCACGGCCACGCTCACGCTCTCGTCACTCTCGCTGCTGAGTCCAAGGGGAAAGCTCGCCACCACCTTGTGGGCATGAAGCGGACCAGCAAGAAAGGCGAGGGAGTCGGCCGAGACCGCCACAATGCTTGTGTCGCCAGTCTTGAGGCCCTTGGTGAACCCGTCATTAACAGCAACGTCACAGACAAAGAGCTGCGCGCCGTAGATCGGGCTCGCCAGCTCGCGAACCCGCTCCAGGAACTGGAGCTTGGTGAGGAGGCGCGAGGACCGGCCGTGTGAGGCGTGGGCGGCGAGAACCTTGCTCTCAAACTTGTCGACGTTGAACTTGGACGACTCGCAGATCTGAGTTGGCAGGACCTCAATGAGCCTGCGAGTGTAGTAGCCCTTGATGTGGGTCTCGCCCGAGAACGCGCCAAGCTCGATGTGGAAGACCATGCCGGCTAGGGCGATGGCATCCTTGGAAGAGACGGCAAAGGTCGAGTTGCGGATGTTGTCCAGCGCCTCGCAATAGAGCATGTTGAGAGCAATCGGATGCTCGATGGCCAGCTCTTCGTCAAGCGTCAGCCGCGGCGACTTGCGGAGCTCAAGAAAAGCGCCTGCATCGGCCATGCCCAGCCCGCGGTAGTGATGGACGAGGCCCTTCCAAGCCGTGGCCAGCGGTGAGATGCGGAGCGCCTGCGGGAGAAACAGCTCGAGTCGCGGCGAGTCTTCTGCCGTTGAAGGCGCCACCAGCCAGATGGAGAAGTAGTTAGAGACCACATCCGTAGGCATGCCCATCTTGTCGCCAGCCATCTCCAGTACCGCCGCCACGGTCGTTGCCTCGTCGGCTCTCAGCGTCAGCTCTCGCGAGTGGTCCGGAAAGTGGACCTTGACCACATGGTGGGCTCCTGAAATGCGCGACAGAGGTCCGCTGCCGTCCATGTTCCGAGCTCGACGGGATGTGGGCGCACGAAGCTGACTGTGCGCAAGGTGCGGGTGGGAGGGCGGGGGTTAGGGGGAGGGCGAGTCGTGGGTGCGTGGGGGTTGGTCGATCGGACTCGTTGCGGGGGTGGGGGCGGGGAAAATTTGGTCGTGCAGGGAAACAGACGATGGGCGTACAGTCAAGGGTACGTGAACTTTACCAGGGGGGGGGGGGGGGGCGGTCATAGAGCAAAGAGCGAGTCTGGCTCGTCGATGGGAAGCGAGGAGATCGAGGCCATCAGCGACGGGTCGAGGGCGATGGCCGGCTTACGGGCGGATTGGAGCTTGGCTGGTGTGTAGGCGTAGCGGGCGTGGCGGGCCGACGACGGCGTGACCATGGGCGTGCCGAGCTGGTACAGAGCGTCGTCACCTACATCGGCATCAACCGCCACTCGGGATGGTCGCTTGGGTGTGGCATAGCTTGCCGATGCATCGTAGCTGCTCGTCGGAACGTGAGCGTCCCACGCTGGCAGGACCGGGGTCTTGGCCGGCGACGGCTGGAACGGCGGCAGCTCCCATGGCGAGCGCGGGGAGCGGCCCAATGAGCGCTGGGCAAAGATAAACGGACGCGGCGTCGGCCGCAGCGGTGTCCGCAGCGGAGTCTGGTTCTCGGGTCGAGTCTTGCTCGTCTGCACCTTGGTCGGCGTCGCGCCGGCTCCGAGCAGCATCTCGGTAGCGAGTTCGTCCGGGCTGAGCGCCCCAGCCGAGGGTGTGTCCGGAGACCGGTTCTCTTCGCTCTCGTTGGCATTGGGAACCAGCGTCGCCGGGTACTCGTTGCCCGACGGCGAGTCTGCGCCCGACACATCGACCGAGCTCGACCGCGGGAACGCTGTTGCATCGCCCGCGTCCGGGAACGGCGTCGCCGGGTACTCTTTGCCCGACGGCGAATCTGCGCCCGACACATCGACCGAGCTCGACCGCGGGAACACTGTTGCATCGCCCGCGTCCGGGAACGGCGTCGCCGGGTACTCTTTGCCCGACGGCGAGTCTGCGCCCGACACATCGACCGAGCTCGACCGCGGGAACGCTGTTGCATCGCCCGCGTCCGGGAACGGCGTTGCTGGGTACTCTTTGCCCGACGGCGAGTCTGCACCCGACACATCGACCGACTTTCCGCGCACCGGCGTCGCGGATGACGACGCAGCCGTCTCAGCAAAGCGGACACTGCGCGATCCTCCCTCCATCTCTGCCGCAGCAGCCTCAGCCTCAGCCTTTGCAGTTGCCGCCACCGCCGCCGCCACTTTGCTTCTGCCACAGCTCGCTCTGCTGCAGCCTCTGCCATTGCCACTTCCTCGGCCGCAGCCTGTGCCTCTGCCGCCACCAGCCGCCCGATCCGCTCCTCGACCATCTGCAACTCAGCCATCAGACCATCGATCTGCACCCAGGCCCAGCGAGCACCATCATCCGTAAGTGAGCCTCCCTCCTCCCCATCCCCTCCCCTTTTCCCCACCTTTTACTCTCTCTGTCTCTCTGTCTCTCTCTCTCTCTCTCTCGACGTACCTCCTCCACAACTCCTCCATCGCCACCAGTCCCATCGGTCTCGCCTTCTCCGCTCCCGTCATGGACCTCCAGACCTAGCCACCACAGCAATGTCACCGCCATGTCACACACCAGCTCCACCAGAGACCCCCACCTTAGAGTTGGAGGAAGAGGAAGTGTCGGGGTGAGGTGGGAGGGGCGGGTTGGGGGGGGTGGCCGGGGGGGGGGGGGGGCGTGCTGCTGCGGAACATGGCGCCAAAGATGGTCGCACTCAGCCCCCACTCGCTACCCTCGCCCTCTGCGGGAGCGCAACTCGGCTTGGCTTGGACTTGATCTTGGACACGTTTCGCGCATCACGGCACTTTGACTCGCCATCGGCAGTGAAAGTAAGACCAATGCCACCCACACCAACGCCAGCAGCAGCAGAAGCAGCCGATCTTCCTCATTATCGTCGCCGCGAGCGGCGCTAATGGGCTCATGGCTGGCCAGATCTTCTCAAGCTCTCCACGCTGCAGCAACACTTGACGCACAGGTGATCGTGGTATATGGGCGCTATCGCGTCCTCACTTCCGCAAATACCAAAGCGGAGGCTCGAGCGAAGGACTGTTTTTGGTCGTGATGAGTTTGTGGCCCTCGTCATGGCCCTCAAGTCGGCCGGCGGCGAGTGCTTTGACCGATCTGTCTTTGTCGACGCTGTTGGCTATGTCCTCGATCATCCCGAGCTGCCGGCACAGCGCAAGCTGAAAACCATCGACATTGTCGTGACGCGGACAAAGGGTCCAGGCTCTGGTCGCGCCCTTGCCGAACTCGACGACGAAGGCCTGTTTGAGCTCGGTAGCGCCTCGGCGAGCGGCCGCCTTGACGGGAGCTCCAGCGACAGCAGCGAGAGCGAAGGGACGGCGTGGGCGCAGCGAATGGCTTGCCGCAGCCTGCGCGCCTCGCTCGATGCCCGTCGCCTCGGCCGGGCTCTGTTTGCGCTCTTTGCTGACGCTGACGGCGAGAGCAAGAGCAAGAGCGTCCGCCTCACCGAGCTCACCATGTTCGCCGCCATGCTCGACGACAAGACCCGGCCGCACAAGGTCGACCGCATGACGACGGTCTTCCACGGCAAGGTCCGCGGCGCAGTTGACGGGGCTGAGCTTGCCTCTGCCCTTGCTGCCATTGTGCGGAACATCAAGCGGCTGGCCGTCGGCCCGCCCGGTGGCGACTGGCTCCTCGCCTCGGCTGCTCTGCCCCGCATCGGCGCCGCAGCTCTTGCCCTGACTGCTAAGGAGGAGCGAGCGTGCCGGCGTGGCGCTCGGGCCATGCTGGCGCGGATCTCGGGCTCGCACATGACATTTGCAGACGTGCTCAACGAACTTGACACCGGCGACGTCCGCCTCGTCCTTGACTGGCTCGTTGCGCTCTCGCTCGCCTGGCCAGACACGATCTCGCCGGCGGCCGTGCAGAGGCTCCCTTCTCGGGCGCCCGCGCCTGCCCAAGGCCTCTCGTCGCTCTCGACCGAGTACTCGTCCGAGCTGTAGTTTGCGCGCGTTTTACTCTCCGCCGCCTCGCCGACCGCGGCCTACAGCAGGTTGTCCATATCGATCTGGGCGTCGGTGAGCCGGTCCTGGGTGGCGTCGACGTGGGTGACGAGCGTGTCGAGTAGCTCGTTCTGTCGGTCGAGCTCCTCGCCAATGAGGCGCCCGATCTTGATCTGCCGCTCCAGCGTCTTGGACAGCTCCTCTAGTCCTGCATCCTGTGCTGCGATGATCTGGCGCTGGAGCATGAGCAGCTCCTCGGTCTCGGTCTCGTCGTACTCGTGGGCTTGGAGCACGCCCGACGACGAGCCTGCGCTCCAGTCGTACGACGAGCTCGTCTCGGGTGGGCGGTGCGCCTGGCGCAGCTCAGAGAACTGGCGCTTGGCCTCGAACAGGCGCGAGGTCAGCCGAGCCAGCGCCGCTGTCCGGCGCCTGGCCTCGGCGTCCTTGATGCCCTTTCCGGAGACGGCACCCTCGAGCTTGCTGACAACGGCCTTGACCTTGTCCAGCGTCGAGGTCACCGCCAGCCGCTCCTGCGGCGCCGACTCGCCGGCCAGCTCCAGCCGCCGCAGCTCGACCCCGATGTCGAGCAACTGCTGGGTCGCAGCCTCGGCGAGCTCGTCCCATTCGGCGGTCCCGACAAGCGAGTCGTACTTGGCGAGCGAGAGCTTGGCTGCCGAAGCCGCCGCCGCCGACTGCGTGTCTAAGATCGAGTATGATGTTGTCTGAATGACAAAGTCGGGGTCAAAGGCGTAGAACAGCTTGTCGTCCTTGAACCCGTGGTCGTCGACCACGTGCGAAAACAGGCCGGCCGCCCGCATCTTCTCGCCCAGCTCGACAGCCTCGAACCGCGACGCTACGTACCCGTTGTCGACAAGAAAGTCGACCGCCTCGGATCCAACAAAGCACTGGCGGTACTTTTTGAACCGGTACTTGCGGTCCTTGACCTCGACCCCGGTCCGCACGTCGCGAAAGTGGATCATGACTGCCGCCAGCTCGTTGTCGCCAGCATCATCGCCCGCGCCTGCGCCAGATTCGAGATCCAAACGCGCTCTTGCCAATGCCGCCGCGTTGCCGGTCACCGTCACAAACACCCGCTGCACGCCCCACGCCCTGGCCACGTCCAGCATTGTGCCGCCGCTTGTCACGATAAACGAGCCATCGACGTCCTCGATGGCTTCCATCGGTGGCAGCTTCTCGCCCTTGTCCTTGGCCGCCTTGCCCATCGCCTTGGCCATCGCCAGTGCCTCGGCCTCTTCGCTCGTCTCGCCCTTTGGTCTCCGCAGCAGCGTGACCGCAATCAGCACCGCATCCTCATTCGACTGTGACCATCAAGTCGTGTCCGAGTTCAAGTTGCCGTCCATTGCACCCATCGCATCCTTCCTCCATAAGTCTGTGCCCATGCCTGTCCCCCGTGACCGTCAGCTCCCCCTCCTCCCTCCGCACACACACACACACACCACCACCCTACCTACCTCCTGAAAGGCATAGGGATCACGAGGCACCCCCTTGCCGAGCCCCACCACCCGAGACTCTATCGACATCCTTGTCCGTGACTGTCGTCACTCTGAAGTGCGGTGGTAGAAGTGGTCCCTCTCTCCCCCCCCCCCCCCACTCGTCCACCCTTCCTCCCCCCTTGGGGGAGACCAGCAGCAACAGGTGCCACTCGCGTCTGCTGCCTGTCTTCTCGCTCGTGGCACATGCTAGGCATCATCCAACACCTCATCACATCCAATCCGATAAGCAAATGCGCCCAATCAAAAGGAATGGCAGGCAATGTCATCTACATGCAGCGCGAGTAATGGCCATGATGATGACACATGTAGCTGAGACCAGATGCCGGCTATGCGGCTCACGGGATCGAGGACGAGGCGGCCTTGTCTCCCCCGCCACCACCACCACTACACACGCACACGCCCGATCGCCGCCGCCACCACCATTACAACCAACCCTACCAAACACACACACACACACACACACACACACACACACACACACTTATCGAACCCCATCACAATGAGGCCCCCTTCCCCCGGGCTACCCTGCCCCGGCTGACGACACAGCCAAATGTCCCAATGCGACACCCGACTCAAACCAATAGGATACTCGAGTCACCTCACTCGCACCCCCTCTCTCCCCTCACCCCTACACACATACATACATACATACATACATACATCCGAGTCATGGCGGAGGATGCGGTGCTCTCTGTGCTCGGGGTGGCAAGCCGTGACCAGGACGTGGTGGAGGCCCAGGTCCAGGCAGAGCTGGAGGATAGAGCCCGTGCTGCCGATGCAAAGCTTCTCGCTCAGCGCATAGCCAATCTCGATGCTCAGATCGATAAGGTCAAACGGGCTCTGTCGTCGCGGAGACTGCCTCCCAAGCCGCTGCCATGGGATCCAGCTCCGGTGAGAGCCAAGTACGCTGCTGCGCTTAAGACCCGAAACACGCTCAAGGCTCGCATCAAGAAGCTCCTCACACAGAAGCGCATCCTCAACGAGCAGTTTGCCGAGGATCACCCCAAGCCCGAGCCTGTTCCGTCGTCAGCTCGTCAGCCGCCGCCCGCAGAGCCATCATCTCTGGCCACATCCTCGCCGAGCAAGTCAAACAAGCGTGCACTGCTTGATCGCATCCGCGCCGAGCACGCCGCAGAGGTGGCGGCCGAGCAGGCCCGCCAGATGCGGGTTGCCAACGCTCTGCCGCCCGCCGACCCCAGTCTTCGGCCCAGCGCGCTGTCACGGAAGCGAAGCGTCTCGGTCCAGCCGGCGCGTACGCCGCCGAAAGCTTCGCCAACTACGGCTGGGCCGAGCTTCTCCCGCAATGCGGGCGTCATCTCGCGCAAACGCCGCCGCTCCGCCACTACCGGCACTGACACCGACGATGGCAGGGTTGAGGCCTTTCGCGCTCGCCTCCTCACCTCGACTGGCCCCTCTGCCGATGACGAGGCCAACGCCGCGGTGGTGCTGGATGGCGGCCTCCGCGTGCCGTCGTCGATCTTTGACCGGCTCTTTGAGTACCAGAAGACTGGCCTCAAGTGGCTGTGGGAGCTCCACCAGCAGAACGTCGGCGGCATCATCGGCGACGAAATGGGACTGGGCAAAACGATCCAAGCCATTTCCCTCCTTGCCTCACTCTCATTTTCGGGCCTCCTCCGGACCGCTGTCATCGTGTGTCCAGCCACAGTCATGCGCCAGTGGGTCCGAGAGTTCCACGCCTGGTATCCGCCGCTTCGGGTGGCGCTCCTTCACGGCTCGGGCTCGGGCTCTGATGACCCCGAGGGCCTGGTTGCATCGACGCTGGCTTCTGGCGGCGTCATCATCACCACCTATGAGGGCATCCGCGTCTACCAGGAGCTCCTGCTCCCGGCGCCGTGGGACTACGTGCTCCTTGACGAGGGCCACAAGATCAAGAATCCTGACGCGCAGATCACGCTCGCCGTCAAGCAATTCCGCTCGCCACACCGAGTCATCCTCTCGGGCTCGCCCATCCAGAACAATCTCGTCGAGCTCTGGTCGCTCTTCGACTTTGTCTTTCCCGGCAAGCTCGGCACACTCCCGGTCTTTGACACCCAGTTTGCCGTCCCCATCCGCATCGGCGGCTATGCCAACGCCACGTTTGTCCAGGTCCAGACCGGCTACAAGTGCGCCAAGGTCCTCCGCGATCTCATCGCGCCGTACCTGCTCCGCCGCATGAAGGCCGACGTCGCCAAGCAGCTCCCGCCCAAGACGGAGCAGGTGCTCTTCTGCAAGCTCACCCTCCCACAGTACGAGGAGTATGTCTCGTTCCTGCGCTCGCGCGACTATCGCGCCATCTCGTCCGGCAAGATGACCATGTTTCACGGCCTTGCTATTCTCCGCAAGATCTGCAACCACCCCGATCTGATGCTTGACGACGCTGCGCCGCCGCCGCCCGACTTTGGCTCAATCGAGCGCTCCGGCAAGCTCAAGGTCCTTGTCGAGTTGCTGCGCCTCTGGCAGCCGCAAGGCCACCGCCCGCTGGTCTTCACGCAGTCGATTGCAATGCTCAACATGCTTCAAGCCCGCCTCAACGCGGAGGGCATGCCGCATCTCCGCATGGACGGCTCGACACCGATCTCGACGCGCATGGCGCTCATCGACTCGTTCAACAACGACGACTCAATCTTTGCTTTTCTCCTCACCACCAAGACTGGCGGCCTCGGTGTCAACCTCACCGGCGCAGACCGGGTCGTCATCTATGACCCAGACTGGAATCCGACGACCGATACTCAGGCTCGCGAGCGTGCCTGGCGCCTCGGACAGACAAAGCCAGTCAAGATATTCCGCCTCCTCACGGCAGGCACCATCGAGGAGCGCATCTACCATCGCCAGCTCTCGAAGCACTTTCTCTCCAACAAGATCCTCAAGGATGCACGCCAGCGCCGGTTCTTCAAGGCCAACGAGCTCTCGGACCTCTTTGCCTTTCCGGCCCACCCGGACGCCGGCGTCGAGGGCACCGCCACTGGTGCCATCTTTGGTGCCGTCACCGAGGAGACCACCGCTGCGCCGTCGGTTCTCGGCGTCGCGCCGATGCCGGCGTACGACGACGATGGCGCGGCGCAGGCCGGGTCTGACGGCGAGAGTGCGCCCACAGACATGGCAGCCCGCGACGACGACTTTGTGCTCAGCCAGTTGTTTGGCTCGGCGGGCGTCCACTCGGCACTCAAGCACGACGATCTTGTCGGGCAGGCCCAGCCCGAATCCCTCATTGTCGAGCACGAGGCCGCCCGCGTT